TCACATATGACCTATAATACATACAAAGATGTGTATATATAGACACACGCAGTTAAGGCAATTGTGTGTAAAAACTAATCAACCCCTCCCCTCAAAATAGAAAATATCTTTTAGTCCCGTATTGAAATTCAGATATCTAATTCTAAATTAAAGTCAACAATTAATTTTAATTACATGTTTAATGGGATTCACAACTTTTCAATAACATATTTCATTAAATTAAAAAAAAAATAACTAAAAATTTAATTTTAATTCACACCAAACCGTGTTGTAAAAATTCAAATTTTAATCAAAATCAAAATCAAAAATTAATTTTAACCATACATTTTGTAGGAGTCACAACTTTTCGCAGATTGTTCTCAGTTTTTGTAGGAGCCACCTTGTTTGGTCTGGATTAAAATAAGATTTTAATCAAAGTCAAAGTCAAACAATCAATATTAACTACGTCTTTCATGGGTCAATAACTTTTCAACCACACATTTCAAAATCTTCTATCACAATTTACTAAAAATCTAACTTTTATAAAAAATCTACTAAAAAATTGATTTTAATCACCACCAACATGTAAAAGAGTTCTTTCCATTTTGGCTTTTTGCTCCTATCCCTTCTCCAAAAAAAAGATTTAAAGCCAAACTTCAACGCCCACACATCTAAACCATCCCTACCAAAATGAAGATAACACTTCCCATTCTCTCTTTCCTTCTCCGGCAGCTACTTATACTATCAGTATTGCCGCCATGCTGCTGGATTATTCTCACAGACGCCGGCGGCGGCAAGTGGGACTTACTCCTACCCAACATTGGCATATCAGCCATGCACATGCAGCTCCTCAACAACGACAAAGTTGTCATCTTTGATCGAACTGATAACGGTCGGTCCAACATCTCACTTCCCAAAGGCAGATGCGGGAACGACCCAAATGACTGCACTGCCCACTCGGTGGAGTACGATGTCGGTACCAACTCCGTCCGCCCCCTTAGGATACTAACTGACCCCTGGTGCTCATCGGGCGCCGTCATGACAGACGGAACTTTAATCCAAACTGGCGGTTTCAACCACGGCGATCATGCTGTAAGAGTTTACAAACCCTGCCGCGGTTATTATTGTGACTGGCAAGAATTCAAAAATGGCCTTACACAAAGAAGGTGGTATGCCACGAATCATATTTTACCGGACGGGAGGCAAATTATTATCGGCGGTCGCCGGCAGTTTAATTACGAATTTTACCCAAAAACACCCTCGGGTGATAAATCATACTTTTTGCCATTTCTGGCTCGGACGAATGATCCAAAAACTGAGAACAATTTGTATCCATTTGTATTTCTGAATGTTGATGGGAATCTGTTCATTTTCGCCAATAATCGAGCTATTTTATTCGATTATACTAAAGGGAAGGTGGCGAAAACTTACCCGACGATGCCAGGTGGGGAGCCGAGAAATTATCCGAGTACTGGTTCTGCCGTTTTGCTTCCGTTGAAAAACTTGCAAGGACGCGCCATTGGAGCTGAAGTTTTGGTTTGCGGTGGTGCACCAAAAGGAGCATATCTTAGAGCAAAAAATAATGGTAATTTTGTTAATGCACTAAGCTCGTGCGGAAGAATTCAAATCACGGCATTCAATCCACAGTGGACCATGGAAACCATGCCTTTGGCTAGAGTCATGGGTGACATGGTATTGCTACCAAATGGAAAAGTCTTGTTTATCAATGGGGCATCAATGGGTACAGCAGGGTGGGATTTGGGCCGTAATCCGGTTTTGTCACCGGTTATTTATCATCCCGATAAATTGAAAGGATCAAGATTTGAAGTACAAAAATCAAGTGCCACGCCCCGAATGTATCACTCAACTGCAATATTGCTACGCGATGGCCGAGTTCTTGTTGGTGGTAGCAATCCTCATCCTAAATACAGTTTTATGAGAATTCCCTTCCCAACAGATTTGAGCTTAGAAGCATTTTCACCTTCGTATTTGGATCCAAAATCTGTGAGTTTGCGACCAAAAATATTTTCTCCGGCTTCACAATCTGTAATCGGGTATGGACAACAACTCACTATTAAGTTCACTATTCCTCCCGGCAGGCTAAATAAAAGTTCGGTAATGGTGACAATTGTTGCACCTTCATTTACTACACATTCTTTTGCAATGAATCAAAGATTATTGATTCTTAGTGGAGGAAACGTAACGGCTATCGGGCTATCAAAATATAAAATTCGAGTGGTGACACCAAGTTCAAAAAATGTCACACCACCTGGTTACTATCTTTTATTTGTGGTTCGCCAGGATGTTCCTAGTGAAGGTATTTGGGTCCAAATCAAGTAAATTATGTAATGCACCATTTTTTTCTTTCTTCTTTCCGTGATACTATGTCAATCGAATCATTATATGTGCAAGAAGAAACTCTTTTATCGTGAGCCCTATTTAATAGAAAAAAAAAATGTTGACATAAGCGAAAATTAAGTTTATTTAGCATGTGTTTGGCACCTATTTTTGGGAAATTATAAATTTTGGAATTGTGATTGATGGAAGAATGTGTGGTTGAAAAGAAATGAAAAGTTTTAGATTTGTGTGTAATATTATTTTATTTGGAAAATGTGTGATTATAATTAAGAAAAGAAATTTTTTTTAAAAAAAATTAATGGGTGCCAAACACACCCTTCTGTCCCGACGGTGGGATTGGCAAACTGTGTCATTTCTTTGTGAGAAATTTAAGAAGATAATTAAGAAATTGTTGTGTTTTTACCGTTAGGAGCAAGTATTCTTGCTTCCTTTGGTTGCAGAATTGAAGTCATGTTGTTTAACCTACAGTTAGAATTGCTAGGCAGAAATATGAGTAATGTTATTTATCATCATGATGATGGAATATCGGTGATGTGACAATCCATTATGCGTCACATTTCTCTCTCTCATCCCTCTCTCTAATAAAAATCGAACTGTCCAATTCTATTATTCCACATAAACTGACACGTCACCGATGTTTCATCATCATAATGATAAATATCATTATTCCAGAAGTATGGTCAACATTAATGAGATTCATGAATCCATAATTAGTCAAATGTATAACTATTGTAAATATTTTCTTTGGGGGATGGTTTAACATGTGAATATGTTAATTAGTTTCGATTAATTATTGATAATACTCCCTTTATTCAAAGAAATTATTGAATGTACAATGAATCAAGTAGAATAGAAATGATTGGATGGTAGAGTCGTGAAAATTGATTTCTTCCTTTTTATAATGGATCACGAAATATAGATATCTCATTGATAAATGAAAATAGGGGTATCTCCTTATTCGTGAAAAGTTCCTTCTCTATCTCTTTTGATCTGTTAGAATAGATCGAGAAAAGAAGTAAACGCGTTGCCCGTCTTGGCAAATCAGTCACTATCACCAACAATATTGCGGCTATAAGTTTGTCGAAGCCACTAAAAAATAAGGTAAAATCTATAAATTTTGTTAATGTTGAACACGATATTTAGTGTTGACGTGACGTGACATGCTAACAAATTATCAACGTATAAAATGGTTTGACGTGAAATGATTATATAAATGCTAGTCTTACAAACCATGACCTTACTCCCTTATAAAGAAAATAGTAATTTCTATAACAATTTTGTATCCATTTTGAACATTAACATCTTTGGATACATTTGAAAGGGAATCTAGGTACAATAAAAATAATATTTCGTTTATAATATGTTGAGACATTTCTATGTAACATATTTTTTCGTACCAGTTTTTACTATTTTTCTTTCTTAATATAATGAAAATTTGATTTGAAAATTGTTATGTCCAGAGACCACACAAACAACAAGTTAAATCAAATAATTAAAGGATAAAAAATGTAAAGTACACTAGACAACTAATATATACTAGCATCGAATTGACCAGACAACAAAAATTATTTTGTGACATTTTAAGTAGTATGCAATAAATGAATAACTATTTACGACGTGCATATAAATGTCGTATTAAATTAATTAATGGCACTCTTTCATTATCATTACAACATTCAATGTATGTTATAAAAAAGGCGAGTATTCATGCATCGTATTACTTTTTTACTTCGTGCAGCTATATTTACGGTATGTGTTGAACGCTGTGAAAAGCAAATTATGTTGTAGTGGAGAAAGTGGTTTGAATTGATGAATATTTATTAATTCATAGAGTACTTTATATTTTTATAATTTGTATTATATTTTATCATAATACATGCAAGAAATATATATAAAAAAAAAAAACGTTGTGAAATTTAAAATTTAATCTGTAAGCACACTCGTACATAATTAAAGAGAACATTAATGTACATACATCGGCTTTAAAGAAAAAGCAACATTTTAAATGCATATTTTGGAAAAGAGGCGAATTGAAAAAAATATTGCCAAAATTAAAAGCTTGTTAATTTGTATTAGTATAAATGTTTTTGAATTTAAACAGTTATTATGTTATATATTCATTGGGCCTTGAAGGATTTCAAAAAAATAATTTATCTTATATATTTAGTTGGGTTATTAATTTAGTACACTTCCAAGTCGGAATCAAAATATTTTATTATTTAAATGAGATTATTAATTTATCAAACATTCATTTACGATATGTTTTTCTTTCATTTGAAGCTCATGAACATGGCCCAATCTAGGATCATTCATCTGAAGCTTGAAGAGACAGTAGACAACTGATATAGAATAATGCTCCTTGGTCAAGGTTAATGAAAGAAGGTGAGGCAACAGGGTGTTGCAGCAGGGTGAGATTGGGTGTTGTGTTTTTTCTTTTCAAATTGTCTAATCATGTATTGCCACATATTCATTCTGTTATTGACTCTGTCACTGTAGCAAGATTGCAAATGTAAGCTGTAAAACAAAATGAAAAGCTCAAATTTATGACAGCTAATGTATTCCGTAAATGAATAGTTATTTACGGTGTCCATATAAATGTCGTAATAAATTAATTAACGGCACTCTTTCATTATCGTTGCAACATTCAATGTATGATATAAAAAGAGGTGAGTATTCACGGTATTACTTTTTTTACGGCGTGCAGCTATATTTACGGTATGTATTGAACGCTGTGAAATTTAGCTACGTTCAACTGAATATCTCTTTTCTATGAAATAAAACTTCTTTATTTCGGTATATTGGAAATACATTTAAATATTATAAAACATGCAGTTTGAGTGTTACGGGAGAAGGAAGACATTTTTTAAGGATAATTAATTTATTAATTAATATGTAGGAGAAAAATAATCTAATCAAATGATTAGCGGTATGTCGAACAAAAATAAAGTACTTGTCGTGTAAGTTCAATGCTTCCAACAAACAAATATTATTCCCTTATGCTGCCTGCTATTTTTAATAAATATAAAACATTCTGTATATACTAAATCAGATGCATTGCACGTAGAGTACTATTTGTTATACACTGCACACTATGTTCACACATAAATAAATATGGTATGTTTAATAGGTCAGATTTAAAAGGCTGAAGCAGAAAAAGAAAACTTGTACGTGCAATGTTTTCGACTCAATACGAAGCGCTCTTACTCATAGCGATGATTTGATATGATAGTCGTTGGTTGACAGTATAGTTGTAACTGACGGAGTGTGTGACATTTGAATTAAACAATAAAGCTATTAAAATTGAAAATGAATAAACCGTTTATATATGAAAGATTAGGTTATGTGTCAAGTATATCTTGTCAATATTATACGTTCAATAATTAACTCGTACATCTCACACGAGGAAAATTCAACACTAACGTTAATAAAATTATATTAAAACTAAGAAATATACAAACAAAATGTAAGGATGGAGATTGTTTGATTTTAAAGGTTGAATTTTTTTCCAAAGGTTCTAAAGGTTGGGGACTAATTGCACAAAATAGGATGACAGGTTTTATTTATTTATTTTTAACTCGGACTAAGTTGGATTGGATCGGTTTGAGTTGAAATTTACCCAAAGTAAACAAGTGGATTTTGATTTCGGTTTGAGCCCAAACCATATCCAAGCCTAATGAATAGTATTATTGTTTTAACTAATACATGAAGCCAACGAACGACCATTGTATACATGGCTTGACGTTAATCGTCGAGTGGTACCGTAATTTTAATTTATTAAATGCAAGCAATATAAACCATTATTAATTATTGTGTCAAAAAGAATAAATAGCATCTGTAATCAGACTAGCAGAGAAATATTAAACTTTGCAGACATTCTTAATATGACATTAAGAAAAATTAGTTACACCCACGTTCGATACATAAGATAAGAACCAAATATGTACATGCACATATACATGAAATATACATACGCCCACAGACAGAGATCAATATTATACAAACTGTCAGGAAAATAAAATAAAATAAAATAAAAATCCTTCAAGAATACTTTTTTTTTTATTATTATTATTTATCGTATATGTATTGTGATTTGCCAGTGTTTCGGAATTTAAGAAGTAAAATTTAAATTAGTGTTTTTTTTCTTTGTTCTTGGACTTGGAGGATCTTGCACTCGATAAATCTGGAAATCTCTCTTCATCTTTTCCTTCAAACCATTCAAATGATTAGCACTATGTCAAACAAGAATAAAACCTTTTAGTGGCCATGGGAAACCGATGCTACCAACAAACAAAACTATGGTGCAAACAAACATTAATTATTCCCTTGTTTGTGTCCACTATTTTATATAAGCTCCCGTTTATTTCTTATTTTCTCTCCATTTTTAGAAAAAAATACTATCGCTGCAGGGCCCCACTTTGTCTGAATTGTTGACTTTCATCTCACATTATTCTTGAAGTTTGTACTCCAACGATCACAAATTTCATTTTCTACAGTTAAAAAATGGACAGCAAACAGAGGTTAAATAACAACATATTCACTTGCATTGCACGTAGTATTTATTATTCACTTATAATATGTTCACTTATGAAATTATGAAGTTCTAATTAAAATTAGGTAATGTTTTGTAACAAAGCATCCATGGTCATGAAAGATAGTCATTGTTAATCATTGACTTGAACTTTGTATACCATTAATTATTTATTAACATTTGGACATGTACAAAGTCCAAATGTATATGAAACCTAACAAAGAATTCAGGTGACATTCCCCCCAGACCCCAAAATAAAATAAAACAAATTAATTTCCGCTCTTTTGGCCCCCCAAAAAAGGATATAAATACCCAATCAAACTCTTCCCTTCACCACACACATTCAAACATCCCAAAATGGAGAAAACACTTCCCACTGTTCTGCTTTCTTTCCTTCTCAGGCAACTACTTATACTAGTGGTACTACTGACATGTCGCCGGAATGTTCTCACAGTCGCCGCATGTGGAAAGTGGGACCTGCTTCGATCCAACATTGGCATATCAGCCATGCACATGCAACTTCTCAACAACGACAAAGTTGTCATCTTTGATCGGACGGATTTTGGTCCTTCCAACATCTCACTTCCCAATGGGAAATGCCGGAACGACCCGAACGATCTTGCCCTGAAAATTGACTGCACCGCTCACTCGGTGGAGTACAATGTCGCTGACAACGTGGTCCGCCCCCTCATGGTCCTCACTAACACCTGGTGCTCCTCTGGTGCTGCTATGCCTGATGGAAGTTTAATGCAAACTGGGGGGTTTAATGATGGTGACCGTAATGTGAGAACCTACAAACCTTGCACTGATAATTCTTGTGTCTGGCAAGAAAATAACAACGTCCTCACACAAAGAAGATGGTATGCCACGAATCATCTTTTACCTGATGGGAGGCAGATTATAATAGGCGGCCGCGGGCAGTTTAATTATGAATTTTATCCGAAAACATCCTCAGCTGATACATCATACGATTTGCCTTTTCTGACTCAGACGAATGATCGGAACATTGAGAACAATTTGTATCCATTTGTTTTTCTGAATGTGGACGGGAATTTGTTCATTTTCTCTAATAATCGAGCTATTTTGTTTGACTATACAAAAGGACAGGTGGTTAAAACCTACCCGACAATGCCTGGAGGGGATCCAAGAAATTATCCTAGCAGTGGTTCTGCTGTTTTGCTTCCATTGAAGAACTTGCAAGGAGGAGCCATTGGGGCTGAAGTTCTGGTATGTGGAGGAGCACCGAAGGGAGCATATGCTAGTGCAATGAATCGGAATTTCGTTCCTGCACTTAGCACGTGCGGAAGGATTCAAATAACCGATCCCAATCCACAATGGACCATGGAGACCATGCCTTATGCTAGAGTAATGGGTGACATGGTATTGTTACCAAATGGCAGAGTCTTGATCATTAATGGGGCATCTTCGGGTACGGCAGGGTGGGAATTAGGTCGGAACCCAGCTTTTTCACCCGTTATTTACAGCCCTGATAGTTCAAGTGGATCAAGATTTGAAGCACAAAACCCAAGCTCCACCCCCCGAATGTACCACTCAACTGCAATATTGCTTCGTGATGGACGGGTTCTCGTCGGTGGCAGCAATCCTCTTCAGTATGACAATATTACGGGAGTTCCTTTTCCGACAGATTTAACATTAGAAGCATTTTCACCCTCATATCTTGATCCAAATTTTGCAAGATTACGCCCAAAAATAACTGCACCAGCTTCACAATCTAAAATTGCATATGGAAAACAACTCCGTATTCGGTTCACTATTCCTCCAGGCAGGCTAAATAGAAATTCAGTTATGGTGACAATGGTTGCACCTTCATTTACAACACATTCCTTTTCAATGAATCAAAGACTACTGACTCTAGGTGGAAGCAACATAACGGCAGTCGGATTAGCGAAATATCAAATTCAAGTGGTAACACCGAGTTCACCCAATCTTGCCCCACCCGGATACTATCTTTTATTTGTAGTTCATCAAGATATTCCCAGTGAAGGCATTTGGGTCCAATTCAAGTAAGAACAAATTTAAAGTCATCCTTTCTTGCTTCTTTTCTTGATACTTCAGGGTATAAATTAACATGTATAGAAGTGTGTTTATTCAAGGTAAATCTTGTCTTGATAGAAATAATTCCTTTTACTGAAATTGTAATTGTAATAATTTATTTCCATTAAGATTTTGAAAGTGTTGGTATTTGATTATTTCATGTCTGGGCAATATTTAAGTGTGTATTACTCAATTGGCAAAATATGATCTCTCTTCAAAGAACTCATATTTCATGGCTTATATGCTTATATAATATTGAACAATACTATATAGAGCAGTAGACAAGATTTAATTTTTATCATTATTCTTAATTGATAGAGCATAATAATATTTCACAAGAGAATTTGTACCAATTTATCAAGGGAAAGAAGTTCCATTATGGGCCATCTGAGAGCATATTGCATCAGAATTTGTAAATCCTTCAAAGGTCAGCGTTCAGACATAAAATAGTTGAGATTTCTTTCTATCTTCAGTTTTTTGTCAACCATTAGCTGGATCAAAACATACAAAACATTTTTAAATTAAACAGTCAAGTTGTTTACATGATATATTGTTAGGAAAAGTGTTCTCAAACGACCTCTCCGGACAATGATGAAAGCCTTACTCTTTTTCATTCGGCTTTGACCAATTGACTGAATGATCCTAATTGAATTAGGGTTGCTCATGGCCCAACCTATATTTGGATGGCTCCTACATTATGCTAGCCCACTACTTATCCTCTCATTGGGCCCCCTAACCTAAAGCCCACTTATTCTTATTATATACTATCATCCATTACTATTCTAGATATGAGAATCTATAGCCGTTTTTCTAGATTTAGAAAAGGGAATTCTTCTCTGTTTCGTGACAGTGCCTAGTTTTGTGCCTTGCCCATACACCCCAATGGAAACCATGACAAACCACCACGCTTCCGACTAGACGTCCACGTCGAACAGGTGCCCATACACCCTAAGCTTTCCCCGAGCCGGTAGACATGGCTGTGCACTAAGCGTTAACTAGTCCCGGACGAACACTGCAATGTCGGCGTCACCATTCGTGGTGCTTGCTCTGATACCAACGTCACAACCCCTTGGATATAACTCACCCTCAAAAGCTAGCTATTAAGGAAAGGGTGCCCAAAGGATTATAAAGCCCACATCTTTAGCCGAAACTTCCGATGTGGGATTAGGTGCCCATACAGCCCCCAATGAAAACCATGACACTCATCTCCCTCTTCTTAGTCATTTTCCCTTATTCCCAATTCTATTTTCATTTCAATTTCGTTACTAGTTCATCTGATTAGAGCTGAACTACCTTCATTGTTGAGTTACGGTGGAGTTGAAGCTATAATTGGAGCTCAAACCGTAACATCTTCACAGTTCTCTCACTCACTCCTTGTTGAAAGGTAAAAAACTGGTGATGAGTATGGGTGATGAGGGTAGAGAAGAGAAGCAAGGTGTGATTTGCTGGAAAAAAAATATTTGGGAAAGAATCGCAAAGGCAAAGATTATTTGATGAAAGAAAAAGATAGGTCACAAAAACAGGTGCCAATATTTGGGTAAAATATGATGAGAAGTACTTTGGGTTTTTAGTTTAATGGGTTTGTTAATGAATGCTATTGTATTAAGTTTAGATAAATATCATTTTTATTTTATAGCATTCTCAGCAAGAATGCTATATTTGAATGTTATAAACTATACAAAATGTTGTAGGGATGTGCAGCCCATTACATTAATCTAATGTTTCATGATATTGGTAAGTTTGATGAAATTAGTAATGTCGTATCTCAAGCATCAAAAATCATAGAATACATATACAATCGTTACATTTGATGAGGAAGTTTACTGGAAGGAAAACACATCATCTTGAAATTTAATCTAGCACATGGCGAATTTGGACGTTTAGCCGCTCTAGTTGATCGTTATAGAATAGCTTTGGTAAATTTTTATTCTCGTGTTATGTACTTTGTTATGCTATTTAATTCAGATTTTAGTTTATATAACATGTGTCGATTTTATTCTCTTTGTTCGCCAAACCTACAAACATTTGCAATTCAAGTATTAAGTCAAACATGTAATTCTTCAGGTCGAGAGAAATTGGAGTATGTTTGAGCATTTCATTCTAGAAAAGAGAAATATACTGGAGCACCAAAGACTTAACAATCTTGTTTATATTCACTACAATTTAATATTGCAACAACAGTAATGTTATTTAAATAAATTTTTTCATCCTTTCGTGATTTTACGATTTTGCTTTCTTTTATTAGAATTATACTTATAAATTGGATAATAAATTTTGTTTAGGAATTACTTCGAGAGTCAAAATTACGATCCTATCGATTTTGAAAAGTTTGGCATTTACGGCAATTCAGTGTTAAAGAAGGAGCCATCGAAGTTGGCAATGGATCAAAGTATGCCTAATGAAAGGATTTGGATTCAATCAAGTAAATCTGAAACATAAATTTTTATTTAAATAAAATCATACGCTTAATTAATATCTGTTAATTTACAAGGCCAATATAAGAATTAAGATCTTACCCAAAAAAAATGCCCTACCCTCAGGACATGCAACGCAGAAGGGGGCATTAAACAGAAATCATAACACAGTAATTTAGTTAACTATTAATGGCTTATGCGCGTTCACCACGGATACGCCTAGCAAGCTGAATGTCCTTGGGCATAATGGTAACCCTCTTGGCATGAATTGCGCACAAATTGGTGTCCTCAAAGAGACCCACAAGGTACGCCTCTGCAGCCTCCTGAAGTGCGAGCACGGCATGACTCTGGAACCGCAAATCAGTCTTGAAATCTTGAGCAATTTCACGCACCAGTCGCTGGAAGGGAAGCTTGCGGATCAGAAGCTCTGTGCTCTTCTGGTACTTGCGGATTTCACTGTTCGAATAAAAAACAATAATCAGACTTACGATTTTTTCCATTAATCTTCGAAGCGATGTAATTTTAAATGTATCCAATAAATAAAATTGGGGATTAGGGATTTTACCGAAGAGCGACGGTTCCAGGGCGGTAACGGTGGGGCTTCTTGACTCCACCGGTTGTTGGGGCTGACTTCCTTGCCGCCTTCAAATTCAGAAACACAAAATCAGTAATTAATTTTGAACTATAAAACACCTTAGTAAACCCCAGATTTCTCTATCATGTCAATTAAAATATCAAAATCTTTTCAAGAGAAGGCAAAAATTTACATACCTTGGTGGCAAGTTGCTTCCTGGGGGCCTTACCACCGGTGGATTTACGGGCGGTTTGCTTGGTACGAGCCATCGCTTCTTAATTCAATCAATGAAATTCACTGAATTTTTTTTAAGATAAACATCAGATCTATGAACGAATTTATAAAAACCAAACCAGAAATTTAAAAAATATAATAATAATAATAATAATAAGACGGAAAACAGGAGGTAATTACCAAGAGAGAAATTATGAGAACAAATTCAGATGACAGAAATTGAATGTTGCAAGTACAATAGAATGAATATTGAGAAATATATATACATGGTGGGCTATTAGGGTTATGTCGGTTTTGACGTGAAGTTTTGAACCTCAACGGCTTTTAAGAGAGAGAAAAGTAAAATGTCTGTATCCGTGTGCTTGCTTTGGCCGCTTGTCATTGGTTGGATGTAGAATGGGACGATTATCAGCCGTTGATCTTTTCTCTCTCGGATCGTGAACGAGTTTGTGTTTCTTTTGTGTCTATTACTTTTGAAGAGCCCGAGTCTGTTTTACGAGTCACGTACGAGTTGTGCGTTGAAGTTGTATCGACTTTTCAATCCATCACACGGTAATTACACAAATCATTTGTACACTACTTGCCATAACCGTTCACGCTTTTGCCTTGGACCAAACGCGCATTTAGAAGTGCCGCTTTCTACTGCCGGGAGATCAGGAACTACCAGGAAAACAGTCCCACGTCAGCATTTGGCCGGCGGTAGAAATTTGGTTCCGTAGATGGAGAGCAATAAGAAGAAAGGCTACGGGTGGGCAATTTCTGCTGGAGTCAACGCTGCTTTGGCTGCCATTTCCGCCAAATTCTTCTCGTCCCAGGTAACTTACATAATCTCTGATCAGTAACTCAACCCTAAAAACCTTAAATTGAAATACTGTAGCCACATAAATATACGGTACATTTAGAAATACCAACTGGTTACACTGCGATGTATTCACATTGGACTGGATGAACGATGAATTGTGTCATTAGGTGGTATTAGTATAGGAATATTTCAGTCACAAAACCATTTTGATACAAGAGAATTGACCCAAACCTAGAGGGGGGAATCACTATCCAGACGAATTCCTCTACTTTTGGGAAAATCGTTGCTGGTACAAATCAATGCACCATTTCATTCTGTTATAAATATATGTTTAATTGCAGTTTAATATCTGTTGTGATAATAAGGAAATATGCTATGTATAATGTGGCTGCCTCTACAACCTCTATTGTTCTCTACAGTCGTGTATTGCTTTTTGGTGTTACTGCATTTGAAAAATATATAGTCCAAATTGCATGCAATGGTGCCATTGCTAGTCTAACTTTCCTTCTTCCCCGTACCTGGTTTATTTGTGTTGTATCAATTGGCTGCTTTCAGTTATGTTTAATTTGGACATTGCTAGATTTATGGATCAATGCAAATATGCATTCTCTGGCTATTTGTGACATGCTGAGATGAATTGAAGACTATATTGTGGAGAATTGTAACTCAACTGGCTACTAACTTTAGTATTTTCTGTCAAAAATGTTTATACACCATGCTCCGATGGTTGTGATCCATGAGTCATGTCCCTAGAAATGGTTGCTTCCGTTTGAAGTGGAATAATCTCAAATAAGTTATAACATACATCTTTTGTAGCATGGGTGCATGACCAGTTGCCGAAGTAAAATCGCTATGACTCAAATTAGATGACGGGTGAAACTGGCTCGTTCTATCTTTTGAATTGATTATGCTATGGCTTTCACAATTTTATATAATCAACACATTCTTCAGTAGCAGATGCATGATTTTCTAGTATATGCTAGCAGCAACTACATGACTGAACAATTTTACTGTGACTGGCTCAATTGCCTTCAATAAATATGACAAGGAAATGCTCTATGATTTTTCTTGTATGAACATAATGAAAATTTAGATGCAGATTCTCTCTCTAGTTGTATTAATAACTGCATACATAATATTTGGGTTCCTGCAGTCTCCATATGCATAAATCAACTTTGATGAACCATTGTTCCTTCTCAAAATGCCTGCGATTCATTGAACTGTTACTTTTACAAAAGTGGTGTGATCCCTCACTGACACATTTACTTCTTGTTGACAGCTTAAGTATGGCCTTGTAATATTTTTCAATGTTATAATGTGGGGATGCTATGTTAATAGCATGAAGGCTCTTTCATCTTTACAAGCTACAGTGACAAACTTTGCCACCAACTTCCTCTGTTCTGGACTTGCTGGATTCTTCCTATTTGAGGAGGCACTACCCGCTAAGGTAATATATTTGATAATTTCAAGAACCTTTCCCTAGCTAGTAGTCATGTTATTTGCATGTTGTACATGCTTGAAAAGTTGACAGACAACCCTTGGTGCTGTTTCTTCTTAAAAATTGAGATGGCATCTCATACTGATAGCTTTTCTGAACTAGCAATGCTTCTTTTCTACTACATATCTTGTAGCCATGGGACTGTGAGTTCCAAGGGATTAGATGGTACATTTAGTAGTAACCTTTGCTCTTGAAACAAAAGGCCAAGTTCAAAGGAGTAGAGAAAACAAGGTGACGATTTAAAACTACTCAAGTTTCTGCAAAGGCCACCATGTCAAATTGGTTGGCATGTAGTCTCAAAATACTCCATCATGCTTAGGTAAGCCTTATATGCAATCAATGGCCGGTTGGGTTGGTCCAACCTAGAAAGGTTGTTTTCCACTTGATGATCTTAATACCTTTGAGGCATAACCAAGACAGGTGGCTTTGTTACAAGGAAAACATAACAAAGGATTTGATATCAGTGATCTATGTATGTATCAGATTACAAGATTATATGCATCCATTTTTTGAGTGCCTAATATATATTTATGAATCCTTGTTCAAGAGAAACTGACACTTACCATTGCCTTTATATGCTATACCCGTTGGATTTGTCTTCTTTTGGACAAAAAGGGAACAGACAATCTGACATATTTCCAGTTGCAACTTATTCCAAATTAAGCATGTGTTATGTCTGTTAAATTAAGAAACCAAATTTGAATTCCTTCATGGAAAAATGATAGAAATCTTATGCTTGCTTAGTTTTAATCCAATGAGCAATCTTATTAGTTGCTTTTTCTGAATATAACATTGTTTTTACAGTGGTTTGCAGGTGCCATGCTTATTGTAATTGGTGTAATCGTTCTAAGCAAGTCAAGTATCGAGAAAAAAACACATTCGAGTTAGATGTTGCTTTGAAGTTCTGCATTTGCTTTCACCTCCATTTGTGGTTAATTGGTCATTTTATTTCCATAGTATGTCAACCGTGAGAATTCTTTCGAAATGGAGTCAAAAGTGTTGCCTTAATCGGTAGAAACAATTTCAGCTGATAAGAGTACTCGCAATGGAATTTTGCTTTCTTGTACATTGCGCAGAATTTTGTACGAGACGGATGAAGATCATTTCCGGGAAGGTATTTTGCCGAGGGATAATGAGATGTTCTGACCTTTCTTTTAGGTGCTTTCATATATAAATAACAGACCACTTATTGTTTAAACATTGATGATTATTCAGTATTTTGTTCATTGCTGATGTAAACTTGAAACATTGTTTGAGCAAAAATTTCCCATGTTTTTTTATCTCCATATGCGATTCAAAAATTTGAAATTTGAAGGCTGTTGTGTGCATGCCAAAAAGGATTCATGCAGTCGACTCAAAAACTTTTTGGAATTAACGTTTAATTTGTTATGATTGATGTCGTTTTGTAGGGTTTTTTCTTCTCACATAATCTCTTACAAAATATAAATCGACTTTAGTCTTTGTAATGTTTCTTTATGAGATGGCAACTTGGTGGACAGAATGCCAAAGATGAAATCACCCAATCATTTTATAGATAGGATCAAAATAAAGTATTTATTCTAGGAATTGTATTCACAATATAAGTCAACTTTATCAACTTAAAAGGTGAACTCAAGTCTTGAAAAGGGAATCCAACAATGAGAAGAATCAAAAGTGAGATGAAAATAAGAAAAATGTGCAAAGATTCTGGTCAAGTCTTGCTTTTCATCTCAACTCTTTAAACTAGTTATTTGATATACCGTAAAATTCATTTACTGTCACATATTTTTTCAAGAAACTAATTTTATATGTAAATTATTATTTTTACTTTTTAATTACACATTATACAAATAAATCATTTTTCACAAAATTAATTCTTAAAAATTTCCTACCAAAAAAATGTGGAGTTGATTTTTAATGCAAGTTTTGAGAGTAGGAAAAGTAAGCTCCTGTTTGGTACCCATTAAAATTTTCATTCTCATTCTTCTATTCATTTTCAACCACACATTTTTCATTAAAATAATATTTTCCATCACATCAATAACTTTTCCTTCTTTTTCAATTACACATTTTATTCTGTTCCTGGATGAGTCACATTAAAATTTTCATTTCCATTCTTATACACATTTTCAATCACACATTCTTCAATAAAATAATATTTTTCATCACATCAATAACTTTTCCTTCTTTTTCAATTACACATTTTCCATCAATCTACTATTTCAAAATACATTCTTCCAAAATAATGTGGCTCAAACATACCCTAAATTTGGAATTGGAAATAATTTGAGATTACGAAGAAGAAGAAAATCACCATTGAACTCAGGGAAGGACAAGTTACAGAATGGTGGTTCAAAATCCAAGCACGAATCCCCAAAAAAAAATTTGTTAGACGGGTGAAGACAAGAGCTTCATCTTCACTTCCTCACCCACCTGTCACTTTCGCATCTCCCACAACCCCATTATCACTTTTATGTTAAATTCTGTAATAATTAATTCAGAAGAAACCAAAATACTCTCTCCTGTTGTTGTAAAATTATAAGAAAAAGTGTTTCAAAAGAACCTTAAAAAGGAAAAAAATTCTGGGGTGCCTCTTCACTTTCAATATTCATTCTTGTATTACAGATATTATGTTTCATTTCATCCCACTTTTGGTTCGCAGTGAGTTCTTCATTTCTCATTCAATTTCTCTTTAAATTCCAGTCATGATCATTTTTATTTTATTTTCTGTTCATTTAATGTGTAATCACTGCAATCTTGCTGTCCAGAACTGAACCTAGAGTTATTGCTTTAAAAGAGGAGGTGTTTTTACAGGTTCTTATGTGGTGGTCTAGACTCTGGGCATTTTTGCGTTGAATTTTGGCGTGGTTGACTTGCAGTAAGCTTACTTTGATGAATTGGGGATTTTGACATTATGGGTCCTATTTAACTCTGCTAAACTATTACTGAAGTGGAATTTCTTGTTTGATTTTATCTCATGGGTGTTCTTTAAATTCCGTTTCATGTTTATGTGATTAGTTTCTTGGGAATTTTTGTTGAGTATTCTCTTACTAATGAAATTGAGTCTGTTTGATGAGGTAGAATTTTGCATAAACTTGAATGTTTGCTGTACGCAGCTACTACAATTGTTTCTTAATTGATTCTTGATGTTAATAAATGAGAAAGATATTATTTGCAATCCTTCTATGCAGTTATGAAGCTTGTTTTGAATCTAGTTGAGGGCTCTCTTGAGGGTTCATAGCTCAAAATGAAATTCTATTCCTCAGTTGCATGTTTATCCTAAAAAATTAAAGCTCTATTCTTTAAAATGTAAACACTAATGATGCATTTGGTGGGGAAGATTGAATAGCACGGGACACTATTAAAGAAGAGAAAAGTTTTCGATTTTGCTCTGAATATATTCGAACCCTTCTAGTACTGCAAGAAAAACATGCTCCATAAGTGATGATCACCTACCTGGAATTTGGCAATGAAAGGTTTTCCATGCCCATCCCAGTAATTTGTCTACATATATACAAGAAGCTTCAAAGAAAAATGTGTGTTTAAATGAAATTGACTCCAGTTGCTCCTTCTCAAATCCTGAATAATTTGTTTGAATTTTCTTTGTTAAACAGCTAACTATTAGTAGTAAGTATACAACGATTCCAATACACTAAAGGTTTCAGAAGTGCTTTACGTGTCAGATGTCTTTTCTTAAATTTTTGGAGCATTCTGTCATGTGGCATTAGGGATTTAAACTGAAACACGAGATTTTTGGGAAATGACTTAGAATTTTATAAATTCCAAAGTAATGACTGAGAACCATTACTCTGTATTATGGTCTGCTATCATGATTAGTTATAACCAGTTATTGTTTCATAAAACTGGAAGTTACCAGGTTTTAAATCGAGTCAAATTCTAAGTTTACTTTGAAATTTGTTTTCTGTAGTGATTTAGCTTCATCCGGATCTTATTCCTCTAAAAAGATTTGCTATAATTGACATTATAATAACAGGATTTGGTGGAGGCATCTCTTATTTACAATTCAGGTTTGAAATTAAGATGTAATGTATTCTCTGGCTATCCCGTATCAGAAATCTTCAAAATATTATACCTTTTTGTTACCCACCTTGAGCTTGATTCAGCCTCAGTGAGTGTACCCCCGGTTTTTCATCCACTTGTCAGCCAGCATATGCACAAGAAGTAATGTGTGTGTAATTTAGTTTTGGGGCTGCAAGAATGTTTGAATTCTCCTTTCCGTACAGTTTACTGTAAGAATTTTGTTCGTTCATGCGATTTGGAAGCTATTCTTCTGCAGTTACAAAAGACTTCTCCTTGCTATGTGTCAAACATCTCTTGCATATATTTTGACGGACTTCTACATGTGTATGTGGTAATGGCTTTATTTCCTGCATGAGCTCGCCACAGTTTGCTTCAGTTAGATAATGGCTATTGTTGACTGCGAGGCTTTCGATTATGCAGTCTTGAACCAACGAAATTTTTAGATTTTTTTAGGCAGCCGAATCCATGCGACATAATTTTCAACAGCTCAAGTTCTAATTTTTCCTTTATATGTTTTTAACTAAAGCATGCCGGTTTTGATGCAAGCTTTATCTTTTAGTGCATTCTTGGTATGGAAAGAGAGAATATAGATAGTTGAATTATCAAGATAATAGCTTCTCCTTTTCTTCTTTTGTACTACCGAACATGCTAGTGGTGTAAAAGTTCTGATAGATATATTGCTCATGCATTAGTAGTTCTTGTAGCATAAAATTACTCTTCAAAAAAAAGGCAGTCAATACTAGATATCCTTCTGCTTGTGATGAACTGAATGTATTTCTTTTGATATCATCTTTTTTTTGGTAAAATATTACAGCTTTCCCTAGAATTAATATAAAATGAAAACTAGTTTGAGAATTTATTTGAAATATTTTTCCAATGAAATACGGTTACAGGCCAGGGTTTCTGTGGTGTGGACTTCCTCAACTTCTGTTTTGCATAGGGGGAGTCAAAAGTTAATCTTCATATTTGCCACTAGTTTCTACTTCAGGTCTGGGATGGATGATAGTGGACATCGCGAAAATGGAAGGAATAAACCACCTCAGGGTCAGGTAGCTGCAACTAATCCCTGCATATAATGACAATAATTGAGTACCTATCTTTTAGATAACAAAGCATGTTTGGGAAGTTTTTATAAATAGTTTAAATTATAAATAGATAGAAATGAGTGATGGATAAGGAGGTAATACTTGCGGTTTGGATCCCTCGAAATGTGTGAATAAGAAAGTGGCTTGAGTGTTTATAAACATGAGCCAAACATAGGCTAATATGATATATCACATTAAACTTGTGTGCTAATTAATCATGATTAAATGCTTTATTTCAGTGGTTTATGCAGCATCAACCATCGATGAAACAGATAATGGGCATTATGGCTGAAAGGGATGCTGCAATCCAAGAAAGAAATTTGGCCCTTTCTGAAAAAAAGGCTGCTCTAGCCGAGCGAGATGTAGCTATCCTACAGCGAGATTCTGCAATAGTGGAACGTAATAATGCCATAATGGAACGAGACAATGCTATTGCTACTCTTCAATATCGTGAAAACGCCATGAATAGTGGCAATGTGTCACAATGTCCATCCGGATGCCAAATTTCACGTGGGATGAAACACATACCCCATCTTCAGCAGCACATACACACTCAGTCCCACTCCCACATGGGTGAAGCTCCATATGATACCGGGGATACACACATAAATGATACCATTCCATTGTCCCCAATAGCTCCCGAGCCTACAAAGTCCCATCGTACAAAACGTACAAATGAGGCGAAGGCAGTAACATCTACTAGGAAGACTACAAAATCATCGAAGAAAGTAAAACAGGAAAGTGAGGACGTTGACAGAACATTGTTTAGAAAGTCACAAGAAGGAAAAAGTGGACCCAATATTGGTGTCAGCAGTAACGAACTAAATAGGCAACTCGGAGAGGAAAGGCCAGAATGGAAGGGTCAGGACCTTGGACTGAACCAGGTTGCATTTGACGAGTCGACCATGCCCGTACCCGTCTGCTCTTGCACTGGAGTTTTGAGGCCGTGCTACAAATGGGGTAATGGAGGTTGGCAATCTTCATGTTGCACAATGAGTTTGTCAATGTATCCACTGCCAGCAGTGCCTAACAAGCGACATGCTCGAGTTGGTGGTCGGAAAATGAGTGGAAGTGCGTTTAACAAGCTGCTCAGCCGTCTTGCTGCAGAAGGTTACGATCTCTCAAATCCAGTTGATCTTAAGGACCATTGGGCTAAGCATGGGACAAACCGCTATATAACCATTAAATAAGTAGGACTGTAGGAGAGTATAACGGGCTTGCAGGAAAGTAATTCTAGGAAAACGCGGATGCCTGATTCTTGATTATAGTATGTGTAGTGTTTACAATGGAATGAAGGATTCAATTTGCCAAGGTTAATGTTCATCCTTTTCCATTTATAATGCATAAATATTGATTCAGCCGCAAAAGAAATGCATTTATTGGTTTAACAGTGGGCAATAGACGGCAAATGTGTATCCTTTGTGCGTGTATCTGGAGATTTATGTTATAGTTATCGCGAATGGAAATCATCCATGTTTGGCATATTCTTGTGTCTGTATTGAACTTAATAGTTTAAGATGAATGATAATAATTAAACTATATTTGACATTTTCGTGCACAGTTTTTTCTTGGATGAGTGGATTTAACTACTTAAACATGGCTGAAGTAGCAAATGGCTGAAATCTCGGTTTAGAGCATGTTTGGAATTGCTTTTGAGTTATTATTATCTGCGAGTGTGTAGATAAAAAATTATATTTGTACTTAAATTATAATTTAAAATCTGGCAAGCATGCACGTCTCATCACCCAATTAAAATTATATCGTCGTCAACCTAATTAACACACGAGACCTTGTCCTGATTGAATTTGTTAAAAGCCACATTTTTAATAGATTTTAATAAAAATGATGAAATGTATGATGAAAGTTGATAAAAATTGTGGATTTTCTTAGGGCACTCTGTCCGACTGTGTATATATAATTTTAAAAAGAAAAGGGAAATATCACTTCACCCATTCGTGATAATCAATTATGGGCTGATTTTAGTCCATTTAATACGTCCCTCACTACAATTTGCCCATATTCAACTAATTGCGATATTTCACTACCATATTTACAACACAAATGAATACCCAAAGTCGGAATATGGAAAGATTTAGGTTCTAATTATTTTTTAAAATTATATATACACAGTCGGACAGAGTGCCCTAAGAAAATCCAATCACAGTCCTAATAACAGATACAGTTGCCACCGTCTATTTCATTCAACACAAATTCAGCATATTGTGCAAGAATCGTCAAACCATATTTTGTATGACAAATTAGAGTTGGAGAATCTAAAAATTGAATTGAATTATATATATTTAAATCATATAATAATTCTAACAACATTTCCTTGTAATCTGGAAGATCCAATTCGGGAATATACATTTCTGCAACAATGTTTAATTCTCTGTGAATTGATATTGAAGATGAAAGAAACCAGTTTTTGATTCTAGACAGAGACGAATTTGGGTACTTTTGTCCATTATGAATTTTGTATTGATTTCGGAGAGTAATTAATTGATAGGCTTAATGTTAGGATGATTTGAGTAAATGTCAGTTGTTACGGGTTTTCTGAGGCCCTCTACCTCACACATCCACCTCATCTGCCACGTGTTGGTCGAACTGTTCTGGCGTTACCACGTGGCAGACGAACAGAATTCATGTCGATGAACTGATTTCACTGCTCTGAAGTCCAAACTGAAGCACCATCGCTCCCACCTAGTAGAAGAACCGAACTCATCCACCGTTCACGACGGATGCAAATGCCCGCACTCCATATTCGTTATGTCTCACAATGCGCCTCGCCACATCCCTGCCAAGATCTTCTAGGAGATATCTTCAAAGTCAAATCCCGACTGATTGATGGGACGTGTGGCAAGCTACAAAACGGCCAACATATGGATTGACAGATTGACACCTATGAAAAGATGGGTCGTTCGGGATCTGAAGTCACGTGTCACCTCATCTAACGGTTCACCTCTTTCCTTTCTTAGTATAAATACCCACATACTGGTAAGAGTAAGAGGTTCCCATTCTAAGCGTTGCATTCTAATCTTTGAACTAAAAAGAGATCCTTCCAATACACTTAACACATATTCTCAACAACGACCCTACGACCACCTCACTGCCGTATACCACCTTCCGATTGACTTAAATACTGACTGACCGTCGGAGTACTCGCGGTCGCCTCCAACCCATCAGAAAAGATCACGAGTGACTAACGGTGTGCTAATGTGCACATGGAGGAGCTTACGTTGAATTTCATTCTGTTGGCCACGTGTCGGAACCATTTTTCGAGGTCAACATCGATTACACTATTGTTTGAAATTTAAATTTGGTATGTAGTATTTCTTAAATTATTTATCAATCTTGATAGTATTTTCTGGATTATGAACGTAATATAGTGTTATCTGAATTTTTATTTCGTAATAATGCAAGTACGAAATTTTCAGCAATTATATAACTCAAATAGCATTTATATGAAACTGGATATTCATTATCTATTTAGGTGATGATAGTGTTTCTTGATTAATTATTACATACATTAAAATGTATCATAATTTTTATTAGATAATAAATGAAGAATCTCACGAATATCACCGGTAGATAATGCCAACTAATTATTTGTGGACCATTACTCATACACACAATACCAAATTACACAAATATTAAGTAGTTGTTTAGTACAAATTCTTTAAATTATTTTTTTCTAAACTCATTTTTCGATCTCACATTTTTTCAATAAAATAATTTTAACGTAAATTTATAAATTTTCTCTACTTTTTACTAAACTGTTCTCAAAAAAATCATTTTTCACAAAATTTATTGAAAAAGGATATATATAAAATAGGCCCTAAATCTCACATTCTTATTTATGGTTAAGTTTTTAATGATTTTGTATCCTTTTCAATCATAACTCCTCATGAATGATGCCAAATTGTTTGGTTTGTAAAGAAAGAAAATTCGAACTAGTTTCAAATGAAATTGAAATGAGAACTGATTGGGCTCCATTAAAAATGTATTTTGAGGAAAAAAAAATTTGAAATAGTAATTTTTTGGAGAACTTGTAGTTAAAAAATAAGAATAAATTTTAAATTTACATAAAATATTATTTTATTGAAAAATATATGATTTAAAAGTCGAATTGGGCGGAACAAGGTATAAATTGAAATGAAATTAGACAGGCGGACTTTTCAACAAACATTATTACATAATTTAATCCTAGTCACCGTCAAGCGTTAAAAAAAAAATTCAGATTTTGTCGGAAGCGCGATTAACTTCGTGCCTGCACTGAGATAGCGAGAGAGAGAGTAGAAAAAGAGACAACCCACTCCAAATTCCACCTCCACATTCGTCATTTTTTATGCAATCCAAAGTTTTTGTCCTTTTACACACCTCTCAACACACATTCTATATTTTTCAACGTAATCACCGCCATTTTAAGCGGGAATTTCGCGACCCAAAATTTAGAAGAAAATAATTATTTTGTATCCTTTCTAAACAACGATGGCTTAGTGACTGCGGATATAGATGTGGGACACGAGTCAATTTGAACCAGGTAAGTACATTTTCTGGTTCTGTGAACGCTAGAGATTGAAGTAATGCTATGCTCTGTTTTTGTTTTCTTGATTTTAGGGTTTATCGTGGTTGAAAATCACGTGGGAATGTACTGAAGTTGATGTTTGAAGATTTCAATTGAGCGTCTGTAAAGCTAGTGTTAAGGGTTTTGGAGAATCAAGATTTTTGATAGCGGAATAAATGTTGGTATTGATATTTTGAGTCCCTTTCTCTATTCCAATTCCGAAAGTAAAGTTAATTAGAGGAACCTTTTGGTTTTGGAATGTAATTCTGTGATTCATTGAGTGAATCATCATAAAGACTTGATACAGTTTGAATTTTACGGATTTGTTCCTGGAATTTACTCGATTTTTATGGCTCAGCCTAATTCGAAGCAATCAGTAAGTCAGAATTTTAACCTCGGGGGTTCTCATTTGAGATCTTCATCACAACCCACATTTTATGGTTCCAATTGTTTGCCCCCTTTAAGCCCCTTGCCTCCTAATGAGTCGTCATTGGTTTCATCAAGCACTAATCTCAAGGACACATTAGTGGAGGAAATTGATGTCAGTTTGCGAGGGTCGGTACTTGTGCCTTCTTTTCCACGGGAAAGTGTATTTCGAGGCAATGATAGTCTGCCCCCTCGCAAAGGGCATTGCCGCTCTAAAAGCGATGTTCCATTAGGATTCTCTGCAATGATCCATTCTTCGCCTCAGTTACTGCCCATAAGTGGCCAGGGAGTAATGGGGAAAACATCTGTCAAGAGTGAGACTTTAGGAAATGATAAGCCTGTTATGATGAAGAGATGCGACACAGATTCAGTTAGTGATGGGAGGAACACTGCTGAGGGGACAGGTGAGAGGAAATCAGAGGGAGAGGTTATAGACGAGCTGTTTAATTCGTTGACGAATATGAACCGTGTACATGGAGTTAACCCTTCTTTCATGGAAAATAAAGATAAGGACAACATCGTTAGTGGTACAGTGAATAATGGTAGTAACAATGGCAATATTGAATCAAAAAGAGTCTCGAGGCACGAGACAAATACTAGGGAAGGAGTCAAAAGGAGTGCTCCTGGAGATATTGCTCCCCCAGCCCGACACTACAGGAGTCTATCGATGGATAGTGCTATTGGAAATTTCCAATTAGGTGAAGAGTCGCCAAAGTTACCAACCTCTCTAGGTAATTGGGGGGGTCAGCTTTCACCGAGCAATTCAGTGAGTCAAAACACAGCTAAGCTCAACTTGGACTTTGGAAGTGGTGAATTTAGTGAAATTGAGCTGAAAAAGATCACGGCAGATGAGAGACTTGCAGAAATTGCATCATCAGACCCAAAACGTGCAAAGAGGTATGTGGCCAACGAATTATTTTCCTAAAACATTTCGTGTACGTTAAAACATTAATCGCTGGGAACATTCTACACGTTTTATCATTTTGTCCCAGGATTTTGGCCAATCGCCAGTCAGCTGCTCGTTCCAAGGAGCGGAAGACGCGTTACATCTCGGAATTGGAACACAAGGTGCAAACTCTTCAAATGGAGGCAACCATGCTGTCATCCCAACTTACTGTTCTACAGGTGCATAGTTGAGGAGTGATGCATTTTTCTTCAGTTATTTCAATTGACTTTAATCGTTTGGTAATTGGCGCTTGTGTTTCTTTTCAGAAAGACCATACTGAGCTAACAGTTCAGAACAATGAATTGAAATTCCGCCTTCAATCTCAGCAGCAACAAGCCCAACTTAGAGATGGTATTCCATTTTCTTCCACATTGACATTTGTCTATATTTACCTGAAATCTGAATGCACAAATTTCACCTAGATACGCATGTGTTTGCGGAGTACACTTTCGCTGTACTTCTGGAGTTAGGTTGTCCTAGATTAGATTTAAAAAGAACGTATGCGCGACTTTCACAATTTTAAGTATTTCTATGGTTATGTTATTAGTGTCATCTTATCTGAGTTCTTATATGAATGATGAAGTTTTATCTGTTGTCTTAATTTTTTTATTCCTGTGAAGGTACCTCTTGATTATCCTATTGGATGAATTATGCATGTACTGCTTGATTTTGTTTTGTTTTTTGGTAGTTGGTCCCACTTATTTACTTCAGCAAGAAAGCTGTGGTAATGATATCATAATAAGAAACATTTTTATTTTCAGATGATGAAATCAAAAAAATCATTATTTACCATTAATACCTTTCAAGTAAAAGGGGATTAAGGCTACTTCACTTCAGAAAATCAGCTAATCATTACTTTTGACAGTAGATAAGACCAGCTACTAGAAAACTATGAAATCAATGTCTCTTATTGGTGGATTGTCTTTTATCTCTTTGTTGTTTTTTGGGTTTTGTCTAGGGGAAGAATGGTGGAGATTGAGGGAAGGGTTGAGAAGAATGTGAGAGCCCTAAACTTGGATAAGGGCTCTATACGTTCAAAATATTGCATGGTTTTTGCTGTTAAACTTGTCATTTGGGAATGCGATCATCTGCATTTTGTTTATGGGTAACCTTTTCCTATTTTGTATTTTTTATGCTTGCCCCACAAGTCTGCTGATTTAAAAGTTTCCATTTAGCAATATTCATCTTGACAGAACAGCCTGTACTGCATTGGTTTAACAGTTACAAGCCACGCCTCCTAGAGGCTGGCAGTGCAATATCTAGAGTTCTGTAATATGTGGCTTGGGGCTTGTTGCCCTCTAGCCATACTTCTATAGGTAGTTGTAGGATACTCAGAAATACAAAAAGTTCAACCAAACCTGTGTCACTAATTGTTTGACTGTAATGCATGTGGGCATGACATGGTGCTTTTCATAAGGCTGAGAAATGGGCACCACACCGCAAGCAGTCATCTCTGTAAGACTAGTTCCGCCAAATCTCAGTGTACTATTGATTCTGAATATCGGATCAATTAAAGCAACTGTTCATTGATTGTAGGATACAAATCAACTACATCACTCGAGCAGGAGCCAAACTCCGAGAATCTCAAGACAAATCTTTGGATACACACTACTCCCTACAAATTATAATGTGTTTAGGAAAAAAAACCCAAGGGCCTGTTTGATTCCCATTAATTAATTTTATGGTTTGCTAGATGATCATTTTTAACCACATATTCACACAATAAAATATTCTACACGTTCTCCCAAAACTTTTTCCTAATTTTTAACCACACGTTCTTCTAAAAATACTATTCAAAACTCATTTTTTTCCAATTAATGAGAATCAAACAGGCACCAAGTTAGATGATGAGATATTAAATAGCTGAAAAATCATATTAATGTCCAAATTAATATTGCAAAGAGAATTACACCAACGAAGAAACCCTACTTGCATGTTTGGTAGGTGATTAAATTTAATTTAAGAGATTATAACATGTAGGTCTACAGAATGTTGTGGATAATAAATGGGTAGCAATTATGGATCCCACAAAATGTGTGGATAAAAACTATGTTTGACCAAAAGTGATTGTAAAAAAATTACTTCCCAATCATGCTCTTAAGTACCATTGGTGAAGGTCAATGTTGGTCTGCTTGCTGAGCGTTTGATTTGTCTGCTGTGCATGTGGTCCACGGGCTAAGCTGAGTGGTGACCCTTGACAAGGGGGATCGTATATTTAGCTGGGATTTCCAGTTCACTCGATATAGCTTGTAGTCACATTCTCTATAGCATGGGTGTGAGACTATGTTTTCATATATATGTCACCCATTGAACCATCTGTTTTACATTTTCCACTTCACATGGCAGCACTGCACGACAAATTAACTGCAGAAGTCCAGCGTCTAAAGCTTGCAAACATGGAGCTCAGGGATGAGGGAAAATCGTCCAATTGCACAAGCCAGCAGGGACAGATGAAGCACCACATCTTTCAAATGCAGCGCCAGCAGCCCAATCAAATCCAATGATTATCAGTTGCGGCATCCACAGGCACAACCACAGCTTCAGCTTCTCCTACATTGGCATAGTCAACTTATGTCGAGCATTAGGGACCAATCCTGAGTTTAGTTAACTTATTGTTCTCAGAAATATTACTGAAGATTTCGCAGTGTTTGAGCTTGTTTTAGTGGAATGTCTTGTAGAAAGTCTCTGTTCATTTTGTTACATATATTTCAAACTACACTGAATAAATTTTTTGTCCATTTGACTAGTTTATAATACGTGATGGTGAAGTTCTGTTTTGCATTTTATTTTAAATCTATGAATATAATAAGAAAAATGTTATTCACATCTAATGGACATGGTCACAGTTTATGTAAAAGTAAGGTTCCTGTCCAATGAATATAAATGCATCTTAACTAAATTTGATAACATGACAATGACCTTGCTTTCACTTGAACCGTTAATTATTTCTTTTAGAAACAAGATTCTAAAAGTCATAATGGTCAAGTCTCAAGTCTTACTCGAATAAGAGATTTTTCTATTTTTAATATTATTTCAATTATTATAGATCAATCAATAAATAAAATAACGATGCCTTGAAATCTATAAACATTGTATACATATTTTTCAAATTTTCAATAAAAAAACATAATTCTCAAAATCATAAATGTCACGTATCAGTTCTCCTTTGTTTCTGGGTAAAGAAATATTTATGGGTTGAGTTTGGATTAGACTCAATTTTTTTTGTTGACCTGATTTACTATTGAGTTTTAGCAATAATAGATTTTTTTTGTTGAGTGGACTTCAAAAGGTGAAAATATCTTTTACTAACAAAATTCCGAACGTATTGATGTCCTTGTCAAACAAACCTAAATACAAGGTGGTGCGTTTCCTATTTTTAATATCTAGACGAACTTTTTAGAATACAAATTAATTACCAGTACTAAAATAATATATACAAATAAGGGGACTTTCGCCCAGATATCTTTGCGGGAACCCTTAAACTAAACAAACAATGGCAAAGCAATATCCTTAAAAGTGGACTTCTCGTGATACGTTGTCTGGAAATTGCAAAATATAAAACAGAATCAAAATGAATTCAGACAAATATCTACTGGTAATGGTATTAATGATAATTTTAACACCCTCGGAAAACCCAAAAAGCAATTCACTTTTTCCCGCTTTTTGAATTATGCCGAACGTTAGTGCTGGCATTTGGAATTCTCAAATGCTCATTTTCCCTATTATTTAAAGCACTTTATATTTCATTTTAAACCCTTATCGCCGATTTTAACCTCATCTCTTGCTTTTTTTTGTTGTTAACGAGTTCATTTGGATCCGAGTTGGCGGGAGATGGCTTCAGTGGAGACGGAGAATAAGGGAGAACAGGAGGAGGTGGTAGGGAAGGGTGGGGAGCTGCTGTTCTGTGGGGCAACGGCTTGGGCCGAGGTTCGCGTAAAGGGGTCCCGGGAAGGAAATTTGGTTACTCCTACGAGGCTTCGGTCACTCATGGGCATCAATATTCGCTATGTTGCGTCTGGTTGCGGTATAAAAACTCAAAGCTTACTTCTTAATTTTTATAAAATGTTGGAAGTGGTAATCCCTGCGAAAATGACTCTAAGAACCTGTTTGGCTAAAACATAAAAAAAGTGAACTTCCTTTAAAACTAATGACTTGCTTTAGAAGAAGCAAGTTTTGTTGGAAAAAAAAATGATAACTTTTTAAAAGTAGAAACATGCATGTTAAAAAAGTTTCTTAAATTAACTTTTATAAGCTTATATGTATGTTTGGCTGAGCTTGAAAGCTACTTGTTTACTCTTTTTAGGCTTAGCCAAACATGCCGTAGATGTAAGTTTCAGAAGCAGTTTTACTTGGCTTGTTGCCTTCTAATTTTGGTCATTTTTGTTTAATGTGAATGGGGGTATTTGTTTTTTTTAATTTAATGTTGATTATTATGAAATGCAGCGTCTTGTCATTGTGTGGCGTTGGATATGGAAGGTCGATGTTATACCTGGGGACGCAACGAGGTATGTCCAGTTTCAGCTGGTAGTTCTTTTATTTCTGATTTATAATTGTTTTATATATATATCCCTTTCTTTGTGTTTTTTAATTCCTTTTTTGGCAAATGCAATGCAGAAGGGGCAGCTTGGCCTTGGAGATACAATCCAGCGCAACAAGCCCTCAATAGTTTCGGAATTGTCCAAGTAAATTGTTATCTTCCTCTGCCTTCCCATTCAATTGGACGTTAATAGTTTCTATATTCCTTTTTTTTTTTTTTCTCGATTAAGGTTGGATGGGGTGAGAGAGGCACTATATTCCTGAATATTGTTTGAACTATTTATTCAAGAAGCTTTCTTTGTCTTTTTTCCTAATTGGCATGGGATTTTGTTAAATCACAATTCAAGTCATGGCTATTATATGCATACCTGAACTATGTTCACGTCAATCTTAAGTACATTCTAGTCCACTATCACATGTTCTGCTCATGTGGTCTGGGGACATGTCCGTTTTATCCATGCATTTTCTGCCTGTCATCAAGATCAGGTGAACTGAGCAATTATGAACTTTCTTTCTTTTCAGGCATAAAGTCATTAGAGCAGGGGCTGGAAGGAGCCATACTGTAGTAGTAACTGAAGATGGGCTGTCTCTTGCCTTTGGTTGGAATAAACACGGTCAACTTGGTTCAGGCTCAGTAAAAAATGGTGTGTTCTAAGCTAAGCCTGACTTATCTTGTTTGGAAAATATTTGCCAACAATAATTGTACTGCCCTGATCAAACAATTTATTATGTGGGTTCAAAACTGAGACCCAGCAAATTGATTAGTTAATCCTACATGCACTCTCTTTCTTGGAATGTTACCATTATAAGTGATGGTTTTATTAATTTCTTGCTATACAACAATTCTGAAGAAGGGTGTCCTCATTTTAGAAGTTATTAAGGTCGATCATTTTCTCTTATTTCCTCGTGTACATTGTTGTTGTCTTGTATTTGGATAATATCTATGCTTTTCTCCTATGACTTTGCAGAAGTTGAACCATCTCCAGTTCGCTGTCTGGTGTCTGAAGTCAAAACTACTGCTTGTGGGGGTGATTTTACTGTGTGGCTAACTCCTGTCGAAGCAGCCTCTATATTGTACGGTTTGTGGAAGTAATTATGTTTTCTACTGCTTGGGAGGGGTGATGTTGCTCTATGGCTTTTTCTTCCCCCTACAATTAACTACTGATAATATCCTGATATTTTCGACCGATTCCATGTTTCTTAGGACTGCTGGTCTTCCACAGTATGGGCAGCTTGGTCATGGTACCGACAAGGAGGTATGGTCGAGAAAGTTAATCTCTAGTTCTGCTCATTCATTTGGGGAAGCTTTAACTTTAAAAAAAATTTAAAATATATTTTTAATTCCTTGTTTTATATGGTTTATTAAGGCACTTTTGTCTAAATCTGTAAAATTTCCAAACAATTTTAATTTTCTTTACACAATTTACTTGAGTTTTTAATACTTCAACACCAGTGTTCATGTCACTCCAGTAATGTTCAAATTAATTGGACTTGAGAGGAAGCTTGCCCTTTTCCCGAAATGTTGGCTTCAATGCATTATGCTTCTTGTATTTTCCTTTCTGGCTATTCCGGGTTTTATCTGCACTATGAAGTTTCTGGTGCATAGTTTTATTTTTAAATACCAGTACCGAGATTAGTACATTTGAAGAAAATCTCATTCAGCAAGGAGCACGCTATATGTTTTTACATAGGTGTGATATCACATATCTGGAGTAAAATTTGCAAGTGTGAGAAAATTTATCATAAATCATTATGAAATGAAGACAATATGTCTGCTTGTCAGCACCATTTTCTTAGATCCCCTAAGCATAACCTTGCAGGATGTTGTTTACATGTTATTTTCATTTCTTTGAGAAGTAATTCCCAGTAAAATAATGGCTTTCTAGAATCTCTATGATCAGATTTAGCTGTGGTGTCCTAGATTCCCAAACTATAAAAGATTTAGATTTATACATTCACATAACTGCACTCAATTTAATTTCTGTTGTGGACAAGATTGCCGTTCACATTGATTTTGTTTGAGAAATTAGATGTTCTTTTACTGGCAGTACAATACCAAAGATAGCTCTGTGAGGCTTGCTTATGAAGCTCAACCCAACCCTCAAACTATAATCTCTCTTGCTGGAGAGACCATAGTCAAAGTTGCTTGTGGAACAAATCATACAGGTACTTCTTACAATTAGCCTGCCGCATGTATTTTGTATTCTTGCATTGGCCCAAATCCATTTACTGTCTCTTATGATGTAGTTAACGTCTATCTCTTGTTTGTTTGAATTTTCAGTAGCAGTGGATAAAAATGGCTATGTTTACACGTAAGTTCTGCACTTTTGTGTAACATTGTTTATGTTCTGTTATTTGATGATTTAACAATGCAAGTCTAACCTCGTTCTGTATTTTTGAATATTGGGTGGTGAGAACTATCAGGTGGGGCTTTGGTGGTTATGGAAGGTACTTGCTATAAATTTTACATATTGCTCGATTGTTTTATTTCGTCTTGAAAACCTTTATTAGTCTTTGTGACCTTGATCGCTTAGCTGCTGGCAACAGGCTTGGACACAGAGAACAAAAAGATGAATGGGTTCCGCGCCGTGTTGATGTTTTCACGAAGCATAATATTCTCCCTCCAGATGCAATTGTTTCAGCAGGGTCTGCCAATTCTTCATGTACAGCTGGTATGAATTGGGACCTTCTTGCTGCTACTTTCTTTTGGGTTAATTCTCTTTGCTCATGCTGGTCGTACATTATGTATTGGATATCTTCTGAAAGTTGCTTGGCCTCGATGCTATGCGCAGAATGGCATGAGTTGCACTATGATTTCTTATTCTCCTTATGCAATGAAAAGCAAGATTAGAGGATCTATACTCATATTTATTGGTTGAGTAGAAGGCAAATGACGATTAACCATACTAACCTAGCTAGTGCATCTCATAGGAAGGGAAGATCTAAGTAGTTGAATTTTCCCTTTGTTTTGTTGCTAGTATTAAATTAGCATCCATGTATACCATTTGTGTTGGTGGAATCATGTGGCCTTTTGCAACCTGTAAAAAGTTCACCTTTTCAGAATAATGTCAGCTTGTCATGCATGCTGTAAGTTCGTTGTTGTGTCATCTAAATATAGAGGTGTGAATTTTATTGAGTATTTTAGTTACCAGCTAAAATATCTGGACAAGTTTTTGATTCATTTTGCATGCACATGCAGAGGATATTGTAACAGAAGTCCTTGATATATGTCTTCCTGAAAAGATTTATAGACTTAATGAGTTACAGAAGTGCAGATCTTTTGCAGAACTAGGTAATTCTAAAACCGCCATTTAAATTTCACCTTTTTTCCAGGAGGAGGACAGCTTTACATGTGGGGCAAGATGAAGGTCACTGGGGATGACTGGATGTACCCTAAGCCTCTCATGGATTTGAGGTTCTGCTTCTTGTGTCATTGATATAGGGTCTTTTCAGATTCATTATGATAAACAGCTTCTTTAGTCCTCTAAAATGATTTCTTGCAGAGTTTTTTTTTTTGAATGTATCACAAGATGTAAAATTATTGAAATTGATGAAATTAGATATAATGGGATGATCTTCCTTTCATATTAGCTAGTAGTTTTAACAAATTTATATACTCAAAAACATATCTTGGTCTCTAGTTAAACAATTAGAAAATATAAAAGAAACAAAATACTATCCAAGAAAAGATTCCCTGTAGGAGTTGGCTTGTGCAAGTCTCAATACACCCTTACCTTTTGTCCCTAATGATCTTTATGTACTTAATAACTTCTATGTCTTATGTCCTTGTTTCTTTCCTTGTTTATGTCATTCTAATCTGAACGTCATGAAAAACTCTCTCCTTTGGTTCGACTGTGATTGTATCGTCAAGTTTAACGGTAACAATTCGCAGTCAATTCTGAGTTAGGTTGAACTATTTGTTTTCGCTGCCTCTCATTTTCTGTATATCAACATATAGATACAATCTCATGACTTGGATTGTGCTTTTTTTGCAGGTTTTTCTTCATGTGAAATTATTGAAATGAGTTCTTTATTTTCCCAATTTTGTACTGCTAATAATTTGGCATTCTTCTATAGTGGCTGGCATTTACGCTGCATGGACTCAGGCAATATGCATCACTTTGTTGGGGCTGATTCCTCGTGCATAAGCTGGGGCCATGCACAATTTGGGGAGCTGGGATATGGACCTGAAGGGCAAAAGTATGTGATGGTTTCAATATATACACATTTATACCTGCACACTGACACTGAGTGGTTTCAATATATACACATTTATACCTGCACACTGACACTGACTTGCATACTTTTACCCACACATTGAAGACTTTTTTTTTATCTTATGCTGTTTTTTATTTATCTGCTTTTCAGATCTTCTGCTAATCCTAAAAAAGTTGAGATTCTGGAGGGAATGCATGTTTTTAGGTCGGTGTTATTGTATTTGATAATACTTTGGTTAAACTTAAATTATCAAAAGCTAATCTAAGTCAATTCTTCCCTTTAGTGTTGCATGTGGATATGCCCACTCCATGGTGGTTGTTGATAGAACTAATGTTGCTGATCGACTTGAACAGGTAAAACTTTCTGCACTGAACTTGTCTGGCAGAGTGCTTTTGGGGTCAAAACAATAAATGAATCCAAAATTAACATTTTTAACTGTGATTTTATGATTCAATCACAGGACAGCTTATAGAGATTTATATACGAAGTAGTTACATATAGTTGGTCTAGATATGAAGTAGAAAAGTGCACAATCTCATATTTTAACATTTTGCGGTCTTGTCCACGATAAACCAGTTAGTTTAGGCTTCAGAATTGCTTAATGTGTAGACTCACGTAAAGGTGAAGAAGGCTATGTTTAATTTTTTCTTTTTTCCTTATTATTAACAGCTTGAAGTGTATGATGGCAAAGCTGGCAACGAAGGTATACTTGAATAAATGGATATGTTCCATATATTGTATTTCTTGTAGCTCATGCTTTTCTAATCTATAATTCTTATTTATCTACTCAGCTGTGAATGATGAACCCGATAACGGAACTTATGTTGCTGGAAAATCTAACAGAAAGAGCTCTGCTAAGAAATCTGAAAGCTCTAAGAAGAGGAAGAATTCAGATGGTGAATTGGATTCTGAAGATGAGGAAAATAGTCATAATGAGAGTGAAGGAGAACGGAATGGGCAGGCAAAACATCAGAAAAAACGCGGTGGAAAAGCTTCAGGCAAAGGACAAGGCAAGAGCGCTGGTAACTCTGCTACAGAAAAGAAAGGCAGTGGACATGGGCTGTGCCATCCTACATCAATGAAAAAATACAGACCAAATACAGGAGGAAAAGGATCGGGTAAGAGGGGAAGACCTGGGAAGTCATGAGCTTCCGTTTCCTGGTTCATATAGGAGTTTTTGTCTTCCATTGAGAAGTATACTATGGCCAACCTTTTTTGTTCTTTCATTTTTTCCAAACTTCTGGGATGAATTGAAATGGAGCCCAGAAAGAAGTCGTTCTCAATGGGCATTAATTGCCTTGTATCTGGCAAAAGGGCCAATTTTGGAATTTAACTCTCTTGGTGCTTTGCAGGGAATGGAAACTATATTCTTCTCATTTTAAAACCTCATTTTGTTTGGTTCGAGATTTTCTTGACCATTTACAGTTATTGATGTCAAACGCTTCAGGTTTGTTTTTGAAATAACTTATTCTTACCGTGAAAATAATGGAGAGAATCACATCTATTTGTTTTAACCTTTAGGGATTATTTAAGTTGTTGGTTCAAAATGTTGTTGCGTGCAGTTTATGCCTCTTTAAATAGAGCTCATTGAATTCAAAATGCCTTTCTAAGGAAAATTTATTCTCTCCGTGAATGATGAATGAGCTTGTTGACGCACAACAACATTTAAAAGTCCAATCAATGATCAAAGACGAACTCAAAGTTCAATGATAGTTGAAATTGTCCTTAAGTTTTGTGTCATGTAAGAGTTTTTTTTTTTTAATGTGGATACTTAGGATGTGTTTGGTGGAGCTTTTTAAACCAAAAAAGGGGATTTTTGTACCGTTAATTTTTAAGCTCAACAGTCATTGTTGACCTCATGTCTCACAGGTAAGAATTACATGTTGAAAAAAACGGTAACTTTTCTGTTCAAAATCTGATGAAAATTTTTAATAGACACACCCTTAATATGATTCAATGGAATCGATAAGAGTAATGGATGAAGTGTAACTTCTTGCACAAAAATATTTGAGTTTAAAGTGCAATTGCATCCTCCCAATTGAACTCCTATTTTTTTACAAATTTAAAGATATGTAATTAGTCGTAAACAGTAACACGCTACAAATAAGAACTTTGGATGTGCACATGGCAAAGATTTTAAAGGTGGTCGGATAAAAGGTTGTTTTTAGCCAAAACCAATATACAGTCTCTCCTTAACACCAGATCGAGGGGGGCCAAATCCATTACCTGCAAGTCACAAGATGTTGAAGTTCTTGTCGAAGGTGAGAATCGAGTTCAACGCACTAGACCCACGAATAGCCTCTTGCATGGAATTCTTGGCGCAGTGCAATGCTCGCAAGGCCAAGGAATCTAACCCGTCTTGCCAGGTCCAAGTCAAGCGCCGCACCGACGATTATCCGCCGAAGATTACTGTTACCTTTGTCAACGGCGTTGAGGAAACTTTCGATGCGACCTCGACCCCCGCCCAGAGCATCCGCAACTTGATTCTTGACAAGGGTAGTCTCCTCGAAACGGAGCAGATGTTTCGCGAAGCTGGCGAGCAGTGGCCTGTTATTGTACCTGAAGAAGAACTTCGCCAACCATTCACCGGAATTAAGGTAATTGATCGAGCCTTTTTGGATTGAATATGAGCATTTTGGGATGTGAATTGAAATGGGTTGTGGTTGGTTTTGTGTTTTCTTATGCTTTTTGGTTTAATCAATTCATCGAACAGGTGAACTGGTTAATTACTTGGGGTTTAAAGGTTTCAATTTCATCTTTTGTTGGTGTTTTGTCTTCTATTAGAGCACTTGTTATAAGAATCTCCTTTTTAAGATTACGATAACATTATTTTCCTGAAGGTGTTTAGAAAAATTTTTAATTTGATGGTGTGAATGAGAAGGTGCCGTGGTTGTGTATTGGTGGTTTGGATTTCTTGTTTGAGACAATTTGTCGAGCAAATGGTGCATTTACTTCCCTGGAGTCTGAAGTTTTCATTTATTTTCACGGGTTTAATACGTTTACTTTCTTTTTTGGCTCTTTGACTCATTTTACCACATTTTTGTGGACTCAGTTTTTGGATTTGGATATGGTCCAGTAGTTTAATGAGGCACGCATTTTTCTTCTTAAAGAGCGAGCTTTACAATTACAGCATGCACTGGTGTTTGGTGGATAAACGGTTCATAGTTTGTATGTTGCAAAGTCGTGCATTCTTTGAATATCAAGCTTCAAACTTAGCCCTGTTGTTAGCAGTCATAAATAATTCAGAGCATATATGTATCAAACTGTAGTTATTTGATCGGAATAAGCAGTCCTTCCATTTTCACGTCTCTAACAAGTGAGAAATTTATCTGTGACCTCCAATCACATGTTAACGGATGCTATTAGATTTCTTGAAATCTAATATTGGTTTTTAAAATTAGACCTAGAAATTTCCACTCTTCATGCTTAAAATGAAGTGGTGACAGACATAGTGACAGGGCTAATGCAAGATTAGCATTTCAACCTTCGTAATTTTGCTTGCTGGACCATTCAAATTTCATCCCCTTTGGTATTATTGCTTTCATCTGTGGAAAAAAGGATAGCAGAAGAAAATCGTAGACATGAAGTGTCCAAGCACTTTGGTCTTTTTTGTTGGATGCTAACGTCAAGGTTTTTGTTATCATTACGGAAACTTGATTTGTTTAAATTTAAGTGCTTGTTAACTTGTTATTAATCTTGACTTATTTTGAGGTTGAAATCATTGATAGCGAAAGTTCATAACAAACCAATGCAAGAGTATTCTGAGATACAATGCTAAATTGAATGTTTTGTATATATATGTTCTTTGAGACTGGATACTGATCAAAATGAAGTTCTTCTATCAGACTTTTGAGTTGTGTTGGCTAAAATTTTACAAAAATGATTCTATATTTGGGGTAACTAAAGTATCATTCATTGTTTTTTATTGCGATTTTGAAGATCCCCTCCCAATCCCTAAACTAGCTTATGTGGCCTTTTTTTTTGGTTGGTGCGGGGTGTTGAAGGTGTAGATCTAAAGGATTTCCACCCAGTCTAATAATTTTGCCATAAAACATTTGTTATGGTACTGGTATAGTGGAGAAGTGTTGGCATGCTAAGATGTAAGGTTTCATGAGTTGTAAATAGATATGGTAGCACATTTTGAAACATGTCATGTTGTAAGTGTAAGCTTTCGACCCGCAAAAAGAATACTTCTTGGGTTCTTTATTTCAGCAATTTTTTGTTATCCTAAGTTTGGTGCCTCTTTAGTAACGTTTCGTGTTTGGCTAAGCTTATAAGATGCTTGTTTTTGCATCTTATTTTAACAGAAAAGAGGCTGTTGCTGCCTGAATAAGATGCATATCTTCAAATTGTTAATGGCATCATAGAATCATGCCATTCCATATATTTATTCCGTTTTCACTTTTGCAGCCAAGGAAAGCGGAAGAGAAGAAGCAGTGAGCATAAGTTGTGAAATTCAGCGTGTTTGAACCGTTCTGATGGCTTCAAATCGACCACACTAAATTAGGTTATCCAGCAAGGGAATTACGATTATCGGCTCAATTTTGAGGTCAATGCTTTCTGTCAAATTTGTTCTTGTGTTGGATAAATAAAACATGAGTCTGATCTTTATTTTTTAAGTTTCTAAGGCTGAATTGTTCATCTTGCACGTCTGTGGAATTTTCTTGGTTATTGGAAGATATTGTTGTTGCAGTTCTTGATAGTTATCGGGATTTCTTTTTTGAATAATATACATAGAAACTATCTTGGGAATATAATTAGAAGATACACACGAGACACTAAGAGCATATTTAGGGTGTGTTTGTCTCCCATTATTGGGAGACAAATAGAGTAATGAATAGTATTTTTTGGAGAATGTGTGGTTGAAAAGTGAAATAACTTTATTGGTTTATGTGTAAAATATTTTATTTGGTGAATGTGTGGTGGAAAATATTATTTTAGCAAATAATTTTTTGGAATAATAGTAGACAACCAGGAACAAAGATATCAATATATTTCTACGTATTGTTGACATTTTTCTTGAAACTCTTTGAAAGACATTAGAACCGAATTTAACTGGCTAGGTCAGTTCAAATTATATTTAAGGATCCGTTTGATTGCAAATGTAAAAAATTGGTGGAAAGAAAATATTTTATAGGGAATTGATTTGCCTAGAAATTGTTTTACTGTGAATTGTAATTAATTGTATTTGATTTGTATAATTTTTCATGGAANGGGTGTTCTCAACTAAAATTTTGATGGGTTTTAGAAGATTATAAATTTTAATAAATTTCATGGATTTGAATAGAATTCCACAAATTTCATAAGAATCTCATGAAAATATGGTGAAATTTCAAAATATTTGATTATATGTATTTTTAAGCTTGAAATACATCCAAATATTTTAAAATCCCTTTATTAATAAAATTTTCATAAATCTACTAGTTAATTGAGGATCCTAAATTTTAAAGGATTTGATTAAATTCCATTAAAATCTCAATTGGGGACACTTAGATTTTAATGGATTTAATTTTAACAGATTTCATTAAAATCTCAATTGAGGACACTCCTTAAAATGTTAAAAATAATTGTTTTTGAAATCAAACTTGGTCAGGTTGTCTGGTTAAACCAACTGTTAAGGGCTTCAAATATAATGACATGAACGAATTAGGGTCCTATTCATAGGTTTTTCGATCGGATTGATAGATTTAGTTCAATATTAATAACTATGAGTTCATTTATCGAGATAGCTCCAACTCCACTTGACTCTTGGCCTTGGTCCTTTCATACTTCGTGCTTGTTTAAACCATACGAAGTACAACATTTTCAAACTTTATTTGTTTACTTATAAGTAAACATTTTTAAGCTCAACCTAATATGCTTTCGTAAGACGGACATATTGATTATTTTTCCATTTAGTTGCTTGCTTACATTATTTTTCTGTTTAATATTAAGATTTTGGAGTTCATATAAGTATTCGTTGCCGCATACTTGAATAGGGAAAATTGCCTGCAAGCAGACGCAATCATCCCTCGACAAGCCAAACACCTGTCACTGATGATCCAAATATACTACCAACTGTTGGAAATGAAAGACGCTTGATGTTTATTGACTGCAGTTTTTGAATATTTGTTGAAGTGAACGTTTGTGTCGTGAAAATTATCCAAATATTACCTTATCGAATGTGTTAATTTTGTTGCTATATGAGTGTATTTGATTTATATCATTTGTGAGCAATTCAATCTTCATTAGGTACCAAACATTTGTCAAAGGAACAACCCATCAAGTGCAACAAACTGTAATTACCAACAAATGAAATTTAGAACACAAGCAGGTACAGAACTTCAACTTCATTACACCAAACTACATTACAATTCAACATTACACCAAACTGCCTACTATTCGCATCAGCTCCATTCTCCTACATACTACATTTCACCAACAAACATGACTAGAACAACAAACTAATAAGAAGAAGTATAAGGACTGCCCAGAATGCAGCCTTGTATATTGTAAGAATTCTACATTTTTTTCTTTTCGCTTCTTCGAGTTTGTTCTATGAACGTAGCAGCTCATTTATTACAAACTTGTACCTATCATCTGGTGACTCATCGACCCAATCAAAGGAATTGTAGGAATCAACTTTCCATAGAAGCGACATCTAATAAACCTACGTTCGGGGTTCGTTCCGGTCCATGAAGTCCTCACACATCCCAAGTGCCCACAATAGCACACGTTTCGTGTACCTCTTTGTCCAGATGCTTCAGACATTGTCACCGCAACTCTATCCAATATGCGAAACGCAATTGCTTTCGTTCGACTACAAATTGTTCGAGACAGTAATGTTCACCTAGTGGGTTATGGGCTACAATCAGATAGTAGTAGAAGAATGTGAATTTTTTGGGTATGATTTGTGGACAAATCTCCAAGATTTAGGTAGGGTTCTAGAGGAGATAAAGTAAAAAGATTGATTTGGGGGAAAATGGTGGAAAATGGAAATGGGTTAAAATGCATTGGAAATGTTAAATTCCCATTTGATGTCGTGGTTTTGTTTTTTATTTTTCTTTCTTTTTTTTTTTTTTAAGAAAAACGTGAAATTTGAAAAACAATCCGTGTCCATATGAGGAACACACTTTCATAAATCACATTTTCTTTTTTTCCTTCTTTTATTAAGATTTAAAATAATTTTTAATTATGATTAGAATTAATCGGTGACGTGACAGTCGCCACACGAGATTGTTGTCTTTCACTTCAGCGAAAAAATTAACAGATTTTTTTTGAGTACAAACGGGACAAGTTCAATCAACATTTTTAGAACATTTCATAGTTAAACGTCCGTGACCTTCAATAATTTTTGAAACATTTCACTAACAGTTTTGTCTCCTAATCAGTCATTTTTATTTATTCCTCTTCAATCCGCTACTTGCTCACGCCTCACGGTCTCAAATCTCACGGTTCTCCCACTCCACTCTCTCTCTCACACGCACGCACAAAAACGCAGATTTCTCTCTCCATTACAGAATTGAATCAATTGATTAGTGGAAACAGAGCACGAAAAAATGGGCTCTGTTTCTTTGAAAGTAGGAGATGGAACAGCAAGATTCAAGCGGGCATCAGTGTGTTCATCAGCAGTTAATGTGTTGATGCTGTTTTCTGTAATCATTACCAACATTTTTGCTTTCTATGCATTCACATACCACCCTACGAAACTTCATCACTACCATAATCCCAAGAGCATAGCTTTGATCTCGGAAAAAGTGTCCTTGATCCTAAGAGAGATTGATTCTTCACAGAAAAAGCTAGCCCAGATGGAGAAAGAGGTCCTGGGTTATGAAAGCATCGATCTTTCCAGACCCAACATTGCAAATGAGCTGAAAGAGTACTTGAAGCACCATGAGTTGCCTTTGGGGAAAGATTCAAGAACTGGGATCACTGAAATGATGGCATCTGTGGGGCATTCCTGTGAGAAATCCATGGATTTGTTGTCACAGTATATGAGTTATAAAGTCAACGGGCCTTGCCCTGATGACTGGAGCCTTGGCCAGAAGCTGATTCTTCGAGGATGTGAGCCTCTGCCGAGGAGGAGGTGCTTTGCAAAGACTACTCCCAAGGTAGATTTGCAGCCTTTTCCGTTTTCACTTTGGAAAAATGTTAGTGAAAAGAGTTTTAGTTGGAGTGGTCTTGGATGCAAAAATCTTTCTTGTTTGAATAGTAAAAAATTGAATAAGGATTGTATTGGTTGTTTTAATATAGTTAATGGTTATGTGACTCAGATATATGTCAAGGCTAAAGGGAAAAATGATTTCTTGATTGACGATGTGTTGGCTATGGGGAGTGGTGGGATTCGGGTTGGATTTGATATCGGTGGAGGGTCTGGGACTTTTGCTGCTAGGATGACTGAGAGGAATGTGACTATGGTTCCTGCCACTTTGAATGTTGATGCTCCTTTTAATGAATTCATTGCTGCAAGAGGGCTTTTCCCTTTGTATTTGAGCTTAGATCATAGGTTCCCATTTTATGATAATGTGTTTGATTTGGTTCATGTGGCGAATGGGCTGGATGTCAGCGGTAGACTAGAGAAATTGGAGTTCTTGATGTTTGATATCGACCGGATTTTAAGGGCTGGTGGGTTGTTTTGGGTGGACAACTTTCATTGTTATAACGATGATAAGAAAAGGGCTCTAACTCGGTTGCTAGAACGTTTTGGGTATAAAAAGCTGAAGTGGGTCGTGGGAGAGAAAATTAATAGTTCGGGGAAATCAGAAGTTTATTTGTCTGCTGTTCTACAGAAACCAGTAAGAGTATAATACAAATGATTTCTTCTGGGGAATTCAGGATGTAAGAGAAGTGTAGCAGCAGTAGTTACAATGCAATTCATCTTTGTCCATTATTTTACACGCTCACCATTCGTTTGTAATGACAAATAAGTGAAGGGCATTGGCTGTTTCTCTTCCAGATTGGTATTTGCAAGCAAGAACTGCTGATTTTTCCCCTGTGAGGTCTGACATCTTTCTCGATGCAACTTGAAGAGCCTCATTTTAACAACTAAGATCTTTTGTCATGAATGCTTTATGTAGCTGTTAATAGAGGTCTATCAATAGAATTATTGAACATCATTTGGACAGCACTGCCTTCCCTGTTTCTATAGGGGAGACGGAATTTGTGAAATCAAGAATAGATTTCATCTTCACGGCAGTAAAAATAGATTCACTGCATTATATGGTGGGGAAAAAAGAGAAACTCATGGGAGTTGAGTAATTCTATGTTTCATATATCCCCCGTTATTCTTTTTCCTGCTTCAAATTCATAGGTCTGACTTGTTTCATCCGATGCTATCATACACAAGTACACAACTTATACTTGAATTTCCTAATGCTAGAATTTTATTCACATCAAGACCATGTCAAGAGTATATAACTGGATTTCACAAATGTATTGCCTCCAGTAAACCATTTACCTGATTTTTCATTCCTTGTATTGTTATTTTATTTCCAGAAATTCAT